ATCATGCAAGGTTGGTTTTGTAGCTGAAAAATCTAGAGAACAGTACATTGAGGATGTTAAGAAGTGTCTAAACTACATAAAAGATGGAGAAAGCTATGAGTTGTGTCTCACAACTCAGATACGGAAACCAATTGAGGAATTACATTCTCTTGGATTATATCTGCATTTAAGAGAAAGTAATCCAGCACCTTATGCTGCTTGGCTTAATTTTTCAAAGGAAGACTTGTCTATTTGCTGTTCTTCCCCTGAGCGGTTCCTGCAGTTGGATAGAAATGGCATACTAGAAGCTAAGCCCATTAAGGGTACTGTAGCTCGAGGTGCTACCAAAGAGGAAGATGAACAACTCAAATTGAAATTACAGTTCAGGTGACTTTTCTTTCTGGGCAGTTTCAAGTCTATCCATCACATTGTTTCTCTTATGAAGGTGTTTGGCTTGTGATACGTTAAATTTCAGTGTTAATGCTTCAGTTATTTCGATACAGTTATGACTCATTAAAATATATGATTCTCATATTTAATTATGAATCTGCCATCTATAGAGTCAAGATATTCAATGCCCAGAATTATATCATGCTGATATAAAAATTTGTTTGCTTGTTCTTTCAGTGAAAAGGATCAAGCTGAAAATTTGATGATCGTTGATCTCTTAAGGAATGACCTTGGCCGTGTCTGTGATCCTGGATCTGTTCATGTGCCACATCTCATGGATGTTGAGTCATATGCAACTGTTCACACAATGGTGAGTACAATCCGTGGGAAGAAGCGATCCGATGTCAGTGCAGTAGAGTGTGTAAAAGCTGCATTTCCTGGTGGTTCAATGACAGGTGCACCAAAGTTGAGATCAATGGAACTTCTTGATTCTCTTGAATGTTGTTCTCGAGGTATCTACTCAGGTTGTATTGGATATTTTTCATATAATCAAACATTTGATCTAAATATTGTCATAAGAACAGTGGTTATACATGAGGGTGAAGCTTCAATAGGAGCAGGAGGGGCAATTGTTGCTTTGTCAAATCCTGAAGAAGAGTATGAAGAGATGATCTTGAAAACAAAAGCCCCAACAAAGGCTGTGATGCATTTTGATTAGAGTTCAACCAGTCAAAAAATAGCCTTATCTATTTCTGCTGAAGGTCAGAAAATAGTACTATTTGATGTATTTCATCATACTAACTAACGATTTTTTATTTCCATTGAAGGAATGGTAAAGAATATTGTGGTATATCTAGCTAGGTTCAGTTGCTTTGGTGTTCAATTGGTTTTCTTTGCAAACAGGAGTATTCTTTTTTAATTCTTATAGAAGCAGACCTGTTTACAACCTTAATGTTGCTGCAACAAAGTATACTTGTAATGTTTATGGATAGATGAACTTGGCTACAATTTAAGCTTGGTTTTTAGCTATTATGTTACTGCAAGATGAACGTCAACAAGTTGTTATTCACTATTAAGGTATTTTTGTGTCTAGTTATCCATGTATCCTCATTCACATCCCACAGAGATGAAATGATTTCCTAGGTTTTCTTCTCTTTTGTAAGAACACCGTCTACCTTTTGACACCTTATTAAGAGAAGGTCATGTAACTTTTCTTAATAATAAAATGTCAACCTTTCGATTTGGTCAAAAGGAATGATTGAGATTTGGTGTAAATTTTTAACACTTGTTAACCAATCCCAACTCTAGTAACTTATTAGAGTAAGGATACATGTATTACATAATCGCAAAATAAAAGATACACGAAATTATATTTTTGTCATTGAAAACATGATGAGTAATAAACATTTATCTCAAGAGGATCTAGTTACAATTGATCATCTGCATACAAAATAGAATGAAGGGCATGGTAGAAAACGAAAAATAATAGACACATGTCTCCTCATGTTTATTTAATTAGTACAGATGATTAACCATTCACCCTTCCTTTACTTTAGTCAAAACTATAGTCGCTAATTATGTCATTTCACTTTGAGGTGAAACAATGTGCACCAAGTATTATTATTCGGAACACAGTGCATGTGACTAGACACAAAATACCCTGCCATGGTGTTCATTGTTCAAGTAAGACATATATATATGTTTTTTTTATTGGTATGATGCAGTTGCATTGAGGGGCCCGGATGATAAAAAAATGAAATTTTTTACAGTTTTGTTTCCCCATAAGGGAAAGAAAGAAAGTAAGAAGAAATGTGTAAATGGATTTGATTGATTATTATGATTAGAAAGAAATGAAAAAAGCAAGGGCATCAGAAAAGTGAGAGAGGAATAGTATGGAATCTACTTTTTCTCAGAGTTGAAGAGTACAATTAATCTGTCCAGCAGAAGCATCAAAAACTGAGGAACCCTGGCCTATCCACCAACTTTTTCTATTATATGATTACTTTCATAATTTTATTCTCTCTCTCTCTCTCTCTGCTATGTATAAGTGCAGGTTACTTTGCATCAGCAAGAAAAAACTTGCCCAGTTAGCCCTTCTTTTGCACTTGCACACTATAATACAATGGACATAACAAATAGTAGTTTGTATGAGTATCTAACTTTTATTTTCCATATTTATATTTTGAGGAGTTGTTAACATCTGCTTATTGCTAATAATGAAACAATATATCAATAGTTAAGTATATATGAAATGAGGTGATAGTAGTACTATATTTGTGGCGAATCACTCTAAAGATTTATTGAAATGACGTAGCACTCATCATTCATAAAGATATTTAAATAGGGGATTAAGTGGATCTCTCCTCCTTTAAATATGATCCACCATTTTGATTTTCCTTCTTTCTCTTACAATCAGTTCCATTTTTTATTCCTTTCTCTTTCTGTCCTCTTTACCTCAACTAAACAAAGTGTTTAAGTGTGTTTATAGTGAAACAAGTTTGCTACATTTTGAAATACTAAGACAACATTGAGTATTACTTTTACAATTTTATCATTACCTAGTTAATAAAATTATAATAACAATATAAATAATAAATTAAAAATTATTACGTATTTAAAGCATAAATGTGTTATAAGCTTAAAAGGCACCTAAACAATAATAAATTAAAAGGAGAAAAAAAATCCTAGGAATGATTTTTGAAGGAAGGGGTGGTCCCAATGAGGGTGACCAATAATAATAATGTAGTATTGTAAGCTTTTGACCTGGTTTGACTGAAAAACATATTGAATGAGTAGTGAGAGAGAAAGAGGAAGAAAAAGTGGTCCAATTCATTCATTGCCTTAACCCCCCACTCTCTCCCCACACGTGCGTCCATGTGTGTTTCAGAGTCACCTTAACATAACATTCATTATTGAGATTTTTCAGAGAATGTGTGTGTCTGTAAGAACGATCAAACATAGTTACATTAATTACTGTACACCATTCTTATACCTCTAGTAATTTCATTTAGGCTCATGTTAATACCCACTTATTAACAATTATGCTCCTCTATAAAAATACATTAGTCTTTTAGTAAAATCCAGTATTTTTCATTCCAACAATTTAACAAAATCTCGAGAAACATTAAATAAAAGAGTAGATATATCAAATGTATGTTTGGAAATATATAAACATTCAATCTCTTTGTACTGATTATTAGAATGTTAAAGATTCAAATTTATTTATAAACTATAACAAAAATATATATTTATAAATGAATGTGATTGCATTTTTTCTTCATGATGTACAAGTGGGTTGAGAAAAAATAAAGAGTTCATTACATATGATTATAGAGTAATGTAGCTAGCACCCTTTTCATCCAGATGCCACCTGCATATTTTATTATAGAAGATGAGTTGTAATCCCCAACCCCTCATAGGAATCATATAGTAACCAACCTTTGAGCATGGTAAAAAGTACATTCACAAATAAAAAGAAGTTATTGCATGTTCACATTGTCATTAATTAACCATAAAATAGCATAGATCATATAATCAATTTGAATTCAATGATAATTAAGCAATTAAATAACATTTTATTGTCCAATAAGAAAAAAATCATTATTGATCCATCTCATAGGACTAATTGCGTACCCATCAAATATATATATATATATATATATATATATACTCACAAACAACCTTATTAAAAAAGTAAAGATAACCTTCCACAAAAAATATAAAATAAAGAAAACTATGTTCTAAAAATTAATTAATTTACTCAGACAAGATAGAACAAATTAAAAAATTACTCTTCCACTGAATGGTAATTCATATGTATAAGATGGCATGAGTAGGAGCCTTAAAATTGTAGCTTTTATTGATGATGATGTCTGAATTTAACTTCTTCTTTTTCCCTGAGAATATATGCATTTATTTAATAATGTGCATAAGAGAGAAAAATATCATGTGGCTAATTACCTGTATACATAGAGATATAGTATTAATTAAATAAGGTACTACTATTAACGACTCTTGAGTAAATAAATGGTTGAAACTGTATATATGACACTATTCCTTCTTTTGAGGACATTGTTGGTATAGTCAGAAGTCTCATGAAATGTCCATGAGACAAACTAAGAAGAAGGAAGAACACTGAAAACTGATGATAAGTAATTTTTATAACTTCTATGTTAATTGTCAGCAGCAACAGTTTCTAATTTAGTGTAACTTTGGCTTCCTGGGGTTTTCTCATGCTCTCTCTCGTGTCAAGAAGTGTAGTGAAATGATTACAGTTTAGAAGGCTAACAAAAGTAAAGAAAAGAAAAGGAAGAACACTGAACACACCACATGTGAACCCCTATCTGGTAAATGAAGGAATATTTTCTGCAAATCACATATTATGCATTACTCATACAAACCCTAGAAAAATGAAAGTTTTTTTGTAATGATGAAAAGGAAGGTAAGCATATATGTACCTTGGTCAGTCTTGATGATGCAAACCTGTGACTTTGAAAATGACAATGTAGTAGTACTTTCTTCAATAATTGTCCTATATTTATAGACTTATATGTAATCTTCAATAATATCTACTCATTTATCTCTAAATAAATCAAATATAGATAACCATAATTTCCATCTATGTACACGGAATATGCTTGGCTCCTCATACGCCATTCAGAGAGATGATTGATGTTCCAATGAGCTCCACAAATGGCATACAGGGAGCCAGGCATATATATACATTTGTATGCAATGATATATGTAGCATAAACATCATATCAGACATAGAAATATAGTTTTACTCTAAATTAATTTACTTGTGATTAACAATTCAATCTCACTAAGCTTCTCATCATCCTTAATTAGGCTACAGAATTTGTGTGTATATACAAGAGAGATACAAATATAACACCATAAGAAACTATATGATATCCACATAATAAGAAACTATAAGTGATAGTTTTTTAGGTAAGGAGTGGGATATTTCCTACCATGTATGTACACAAATCAATGCAAGGACGGGAAGAGTGCATTTCATAGACCCATGGATAATATGGTAAAGAGACGATGATCAAACCTAGATATATATGTATAATTATTTTTCCTTCATCCCTAGTAAGATGAAGCTAGAATTGCCTGATAGAGTGGGAGGAATGGGAGTTATAAGGAGTAAAAGGGTGAGATGGAGAAAAGGAGATATATATTGAAGATTAATAATTGGGGGCACATAGAGATCTATAGAACATGGGGGGGAACTAGGTCATAATGAAAAGGGTATTGAAGCCCCACAAAAAACCCTACTGAATTGGCATAAAACAAGCAGAACCAAGTCGGGGGGATTAAGGGTCTAGCTAATAATAGTGTGAGGGAAAGAAGGAAGATGTGGGGTTGTGGTTGCACCCTGAACCCAAGCTCCCCCCTCTCCCACTAAATATAGAACAACATACACAAGCCATAGAGAGAGAGAGAGAGAGAGAGAGAGAGAGTAGAGAAGAGAAGAGAAGAGAAGTGAGTTGGGTTACTAACCACGCAATTTCCTAAGCTAGACTTATAGTGTTTGAAATCTCCTTTTCTGGGTCATAAAGCTAAGTGTGCTTTTCTCTTCTCTGAACCTCATTTTGTCTGGGAGTGCTTGGAGTACATGGATTCCTCATCACTCTAACCTTTCTTTAAATATAAATAAACCTAATCTAAGATAAAAGAGAACAAGTATTATCATAATGTATGCATTCCTTTTCTTTTTCCTCCATCACCTTTTTCTTTAATTTTCCACTTGCTTTTTATGTAAATTGTATTCTATTACCAATTGATTACAGTACTAGTTGGTTCCATCGACAGCTTTGCTCTAACCTTATTTGTTTAGGTTTTAGAATAATCTTAGTCCACCATTGTCACTTTTATTTCTGTCCACTCAGATAGCAACCCCATACTAATTAGCTCCTTCAGTTACGTGTTTCTTTTCCTTTTTTTCTCTAACATGCTACTTTTGCATATATAATTCTTTAAGAGGAGTTGTTGGGTATACATGTCCCTTGGAAAAATACATCATCAACTGCTCTTAATATATGAGGGATATATTGTATGATGTTTGTATTTTGTGGTGTGATAACCTAAAATAAAAATTGTGATATATATTATTAGTACTTTTAAATATTGTACAAGTATTACACCTATAATATATTGTCCAGATTAATTTTGCAACTGCTTTATAATAGGAACACGATGTATAACGGTACAATCAACAATTTTCCACAAAGACTAATCACTTTGACTGACTTTGTTATGGAAAAGTAAAACATTCAACCCATGAGGGCAATCATTTCATACCGCTTACAATATTGTTAATGGGATCATATGTCCTTATTAATGTCTCATTTTGTATACCAAGTCAATCAGAATGTTTCATTTAATTAAAAATAAAAATAAAAAATCAGAAATTAATATTTTAATATTATTTTATGAAGTTTGATTGACTATTCACATAGGCACAGGAAAATTCTTCTGAAGCAGAGGAAATATGAGGCAAGTCCATGAAAATATATTATAGCTGTAAGACATTGTAAAAAGGTCCATATTTAACTATATCTTAACCAATAAAATCACAACACCTATTAATTTTGAGTAGTAAAGAATATACATATTAATTTTTATTAGTGGTTAAAATTTGATTGGAATGTAAAATGATTAGAGACATGTTTCTGGGGACAAGTAAACAACTTGCTATTTTAAAAGAAAGAAAATAGAATCCAACAACCCAAATTACATAACTCCATCCTGCCATTAAGAGAAGTAGAGAGAGAAAGAATGTTACTGAAAAAATTAATTTTTTTTGCTCAACTATCAAATATAGGTGTTTAAGCTAATAGCTTATATTAAATAGCATATTGCTAAATGAAGTGGTTCGTTTACTTAGTTGCCTAAACTTACAGATCACTTCAGAATTTTACCAAACACACACTATTACCTTACCTAAGCAAATAATTCTGATTCAATAAGCTCCTAACTTGAATAGAATGAGAGATCCACATTGCTTAAGTTTCATATAGGCTTTCTTTTTCACTCAATATATGTAGGACTAACAAAATTGTCAACCCCTTAAAGAAATTACTTTTTTTTTCTATATGCGGTTTCACTTACATTTAAGTAATCATTTTTATAGGGCAACCTATAAAAGAAAATACGAATTGTTATGATTTAAATATGTAAACCAAAATGCAAATTCTTTGGTGATAGAATCTTATGAGTTAATTATCATATTCATCTTCCACTTTTTTTACGACTCATAATACCACCTCATTAATTGAGTTTAGGTGTATGTCTCGAGTACAACCCTAATAAAAAACCTAACTTTCTTACAACTATGTTGGGTGTGCCTTATTGATCATTCCATAAATATTATTAAGTTATAAAATAATGTTGTATAACACATGATTGTGTAAAATAATGATTTGAATAGAATTTATTTAATACTGTATTAGAAATGTCCAAAATTACAGTACATGATATAGGAATGGTCGATATCTTGAAGAGAATCTTTGGCTGTCAAAATATGGCCACCAATAGAATGTTGGAGTTGACAACGAAAACAACAGATGTCAGGTTCATCTTCCATCCATTTTCAACATTTTTCTTTACTTCTTACCAATTATTAGTTTTGGTGTACAGTAAATTAGAACAGAAGAACTTATCACAAATCTTTAATTTTGTTTCTGGTAAATAAATAAATAAAAATTATTAGGATGTGACATTAGAGTGGGAATATCAAACTACTGATACCTGTTTTCCCTTTCTCCCCTCTCTGTCTTTGTATATATTTGCTGTCTTCATCTACTGCAATATGCTTATAGCTTTTCAGTAAAACTTTAAATCCTTTTCAAATTGAAAGGTCTAACACTTTTCATTACCCCTCAAATAGTTGCAACAATGCTTGATGTGTTTTTTATCTTGGTGAGGGTAGAAGAATATTTTACAAAATCATTATTAATTATTTTATTTATAAGAGAAACAAATATTTGATGTTTTAATCAAGGGAAAGGTTAGTGAGTGTCTTTACTCCGGAGGATGGGATCATCTGTCCCAAAATGATGTTCATATTCATGTCCCGATCAATGATATTATGACACATTAATGGAACATTGATGAGTATTTTTTAAATGACATGTCACAATATCATTGGCTGAGACATGAATATGGACAACATTTTGGGACAAGTCATCTAGAGGGATTTCCTAAAAACATTCTGCATTCTGCTACCGAGCATTAATTCCATAAAATAAATAATTTCTTTACAACATTATGAAGAGACCCTTTAATTAATTAAGGAAAATGATATATTATCATACTAAATCTTCCTACAAATCCTCTTACACACAATAAAGTGACATATATCAATTGTAAAGCAATTACTAATAAATAAAACATCACTTTTTCACATATATCACTTCTTTATGGGCAGAAGGATTAATATGAGAATTTAGTAGAAAGATATAATAACATTACTCTTTAATTAATATTGAACTATGGTGTCTATAGGAATGGTGATGGTTGAAGAGTATTTAATTTTAGTGGGTTCTTTCATACAATCAGCACTCAAATAGTTGAAATGGCCTAAAAATGTCGTATAAATGAGGCTAGTTGTATAAGCAGTTTTCAAGTAAGTTTATAAATGTATATTCTTATATGCTTATATACTCCTTTCCACTAATGGAAGGTAGAGAGTTATAATTTTACTATATAAGTTTTCATAGCAACGACATATTAACTATTTTATTAATTAAAATTATAGTTAAATGTAGATTTTTAGTTTAGAATATTTTTAATTGGGTAGATCTTCCTGACTTCTCAATCAACAAATTTGTAATGATTAATTATTACACTCTGCACTTGAGTGGTCATTGGGCGTGGCTTTGACTGCTAGTTGTAGAAGCCATTATTGTTTTTCAAAGAAATGGTGGGAGCACACTTTATTTATGATTGAATGTAAATCATATGATTTTATAACATATCTTTTATGTCTTCTTACAAAATAAAATTAGAGTATTTCACTCTCTCATTCACCATTTATTTTAATTATGTTTTGAATAATTAATAATTATTAAATAATAATGGTGGATTAAAAAATAGAAATTATTTCATTTCATCCTATTTAATTTACAAATCTTATTGGTTTATGCACAAATCAAAAGACATTAAAATTCATTCTCTCTTTTATTCTTATTTTATTTATTTTCCTTATTTTCTTCTTTTCCCATCTTCTTTATTTATTTTTAAAGTAGAGAAAAAAAAGTATATAAATCCTACAAAAATTATTCTCCACTTATGAGAAGAAAGTGAGACAAAAAAGTAATTGTATGCAAAATATCAACAATATTCATATTACTTTTCTATTTATAATAATCATTATTTTATTTATTAGTAATTAAAATTTTAAATAATAAATATCATAATATTTTTTATATTTAAAAAATAGTATCATTTCTAAACTTTAATTTTCAAACCAACCAAAGAGAAAAACAAAAACATATTTCTTTTCTTTTTTTCTTTCTTTTTATCGGCAAGTGTTATTTGTTAGTATGTTAGTATTTGTTTTGAAAGAGACTCGAACCCTCAATTTCCTTCACTTTACATATTTTCTTTAATCATCAAAACATCTTATTCTCTCTTTTATTCTTATTTTATTTATTTTCCTTATTCTCTTCTTTTCCCCTCTTCTTTATTTTTTTTTAAAGTAGAGAAAAAAATATGAATCCTACAAAAATTATTCTTCTCTTATGAGAAGAAAATGAGACAAAAGAGTAATTGTATACAAAATATCAACAATATCCATATTACTTTTCTATTTATAATAATCAATATTTTATTTATTAGTAATTAAAAATTTAAATAATAAATATCATAATATTTTTTATATTTAAAAAATAATATCATTTCTAAATTTTTATTTTCAGATCAACCAAAGAGAAAAACAAATACATATTTCTCTTCTTTTTATTTTTTTTATAAACAAATGTTAGTGTTCCTTAAACCCTTAACCTTAACCACCAGACCACCTTATGACTCCCTTATTTCTTCTTTTTTATCTCTCTTATACCAAACAATAGAAAAATGTAATCCATTTCTCATATCTTTTTTCTTCCTATTTTCATTATCATCTTTTTCTCTCAATACAATTTTTTCCCTTATACCAAAGAAAGCAATAATATTTTCCTCCCATTTGATTTATATATAAAATAGGAAAGGGGAATAAATTTTATGAGATCCATGCCCAAAATCATTCTCTCCTTGAATGCAAAGAAAGTATTCCGGAGAAAGAGAAGTGTTGGCCAATGAGAAAAATATCTCTCATTTATCTTGTTTTCTTACTCATACTAATAGCCAATAAATTAATTGATTTGAAGGAAAAAACTAGAGACAACAAATTTTAATATTTTACATTATAATATTAATTTAAAATAATTTTATTATGTTGAAAAACATTTAAACATTTATTTAAATTATGATTCTTAATTATTTAATTAGTAATAAAATAATTCTTTATATTCTATTTATTGTATGAATATTTTTGTCATTCAAAAAATTATTTCTATATATTTCTT